ACGCCTCCGGCCCTGCCGCCGCCCCGGATCCCCTTACACATTCCCCTCCCGAAATAGCTCGGGCTGAGCCTCCCTGAGCCCTGTATGCTGGGGCCTCTCCTGGGAATGCCGTGGCCCCGGAGTGGGCATGGGACAGGTGCCGTGGCTGGAATCCACCTGGTGTGGCGTGGCGTCAGGAGTGCAGGGGAGGAGCTGGGGGGTTGAGTTGAGGAGGTTGAGTTGAGGTTGAGGTTGTGAGGAGGAGGAGAACAAGTTGAGGATGTCGAGTTGAGACTGTTGAGGTTGAGGACACTGAGGTTGTGTTGAGGATGTTGAGGTTGGGTTGGGCTGTGGTTTGAGTTGTGTTACATTGTGGTTGGGTTATGGTTGGGTTGTGCTGTGGATAAGTTGAGGTGGTTGTTGTTGGGTTGTGGTTGAGTTGTGCTGTGGTTGTGTTGAATTGGTTTGGGTTGGATTGTGTTGTGGTTGTGTTGAGTTGGGTTGAGTCACGCTGTGTTGGGGGTGCCCGTGGTCTCTGCCTGACCTGAGCTCTCTCTGTGCTCCGGCAGACGATCCGGACCCTGACGATGGCTTCAACTACAAGCAGATGATGGTGCGCGACGAGCGACGTTTCAAGATGGCTGACAAGGATGGGGACCTGGCGGCCACCAAGGAGGAGTTCACAGCCTTCCTGCACCCCGAGGAGTATGACTACATGAAGGACATCGTCGTGCAGGTGTGGCCGACGCTGAGGCCTTGGGAATGGGGCGTTCCTGGGAAGCTCTGGCAGTGGGGGATCACCGGGGGGTCGGAACTGCTCTGGGCATGGCTCATGCCAATGTCTCCCTGCAGGAAACCATGGAGGACATTGACAAGAATGGTGATGGCTTCATTGACCTGGAAGAGTACATTGGTGAGATGCCGAAGCCACTGCGTTCTGTGTCCCCTCTGTGTCCCTTCCGTATCTCCTCTATGTCTCCTCCATGTCCCCAGCCGGTGGCAGCCACTGCTGGCACATCCTTTCCATCTCTTCCCCTCCTGGAATATCCTTCTCTCTCCCAGCTTCCACCCTCCCTGTGCCTCCATTGAAGAGTTGGGCTGCAATCCCGACCCAAACAGCGCTTTGGGATTTTGGGGGTGGATTTGGGGAACTTGAGGCTCCAAGTCAATCCTTGGGATGGGGATGGGGCCATGGAGGTGTTTGGGAGGATCCCGATCCCGCTCTCCCCCAGGCGACATGTACAGCCAGGACGGCGACGCTGACGAGCCCGAGTGGGTGAAGACGGAGCGGGAGCAGTTTGTGGAATTCCGGGACAAGAACCGCGACGGGAAGATGGACAAGGAGGAGACCAAGGACTGGATCCTGCCCTCGGACTATGACCACGCCGAGGCTGAGGCTCGGCACCTGGTTTACGAATCGGACCAGGACAAGGTGGGCCAGTGGCTCCGGGGGGCGCGGGGTGCGGGGATGGTGGGCCACGGGCACAGCGGGATGTGGCGTTCCGGCAGGACGGGAAGCTGACGCGGGAGGAGATCGTGGACAAGTCGGACCTGTTCGTGGGCAGTC